TCCGGCACGAGGCTTGTTGTTGATAGCACAATTTTTGCGGGTTGAACCCTCCCTGGTTATCCCAGAACACTCCACCCTTCCTGGGCCAAGGGATGCGCTGCGGTGTTTTCCCTTGAGACAAGAGCGACGCCCTTTGGGGGCCTTTTCGCTGGACATCAAAAGTGCGCACAAGCGCATATCTGTGAGACATGACCAGCGTGGACTTCTTGGATTCCAGTTGGACAACAGGCTATTCTTCTATAACGTGTGCCCCTTCGGGGCAGGATTCAGCGCACACTGGTGGACAAGAGTGGGAAGCTTCATTCTTCGGCTTTTTCATCACATTGCTTGGCTCAAACATTGCATGTTCTTGTTCGTAGATGATTATTTTGGTTACCAGAGGCTGGATATCTTGCCGGTGGCAGTGACGCTCTTGGCGCTGACTTGCCAAGCTCTCAGCATTCCAATTTCTTGGCGAAAGTGCGAGCTTGGCTGCACGGTCACTTGGACAGGCTGGAAGTGGCACATTTTTACGGGCCAACTTGAGCTGCCTGTAGAGAAGTTTGAGAAGCTCCGGTCGCTCATTAGCCAATTGCTTGCCAAAGTGTCAAAGCAGTTGCTCGAGCGATTCCTAGGGCTGGCCATGTGGGTCACCCAAATGTTTGGCCTTCTCCGTGCGTGGTTGCACCCTTTGTACACAGATGTGCATGCAATTCCGGCCACTTGGACCCGGAATTCTGGCCTCAGTTTTGCAACTGCTTGAACGACAAGATGATTTTCGATTTTCACACAGCAGCCGCCTTCGAGTGCCATTCTTGCCGGGTCGCAAGCTACTTTCGGTGCGACACCAGCGTGTGGACACACTGCAAGAATTGCAAAGGATCCGCTTGCCGGATCGCCGAATTTGGACAAGAGTCCGCCCTGCGTCTTCACCGTACCGCAAACTTACAGATGACTCTGCGCGTGTTCTGCGCCTGTATCAAGAATGGCTGGAGTTTGAGCCGCCTAGGTGCAATCTTTGGCCTGTGCCGGTGTGGCAGGGCCGTGCTATGGCAGATGCTCGCGCTTCTTCTTCCATGACGCAGATTGGAGGCGCTGCTTTCGATGGCGATGTTACACTTTTCTGGTTTTCTGAACAGTTTGTCTTCCGAGACTTTGAACCATTGGTCCCTGTCAACCCCGTGATGCAACGAGATATTTCGTGTTATGAGACGCTGGCTCAGATGGCGCTGCTCCAATTCTTCTTCACTTAAATTCCAAGGCATTAGCTTTGAGATTTCCTTTCCAACGTTTTGGGGCTGTGGTCCCTTCTTTGAGTGACAACACAGCCGCGGAGGCGCAAATCGCCTGCGTCCAAACCTTTGTGTTACTTTCTGGAGCGGCTTTCCTTGATGGCGTGCAAGTTTCACATGCAACTAGACGTGTCGCACGTTCCTGGAGAACAGAACGATGTGGCCGACAAGTTGAGTCGTTGGTCTTTCGATTCCCCGATGGAAAGACGAACGCGCTTTTCATTGCCAGACCTTTGGCACGCCCGGCCAAAGCCCCAGCTTTTCCCTGCCAATGGCAGGCTAGGCTGGTCGCTTCCTTCCTGATCGTGCCGGAACATTCCCGCAGTTTGGGGGGTTTCTGGCCTGGAATATTCCTGAAAGCTTCGTTGGGGGTTGATTGTCCTTCAGGAATTTCCCATGCGGACTTGAGCTCTCAAACAGATTTCCGGCACGACCTGAGAAAGAAGTGAGCGATGCTGATCTCGACATTACAGAATGTTGTGCCTTTTGACATGAATGCCATCCTATCGAAACGACGCATGTACTTGTTCATGTTTGCTTCGAATGGTGTGCTTCATGGGCCATTTGGCTCACCAGCTCGGCATTCATGTCGCTGATGCATTCGCATTATTTTTCATTACCCGCCCTCCCTACTCGACATTACAGAATGTTGTGCCTTGTGACATGAATGCCATCCTATCGAAACTACCTCCTCCACCTCCACCACCACCACCGCCACCGGAGATCCTCCATCCACAGTTTTTGCCCTCATTAATTACGGACATCACCCACTTCATCCCCCCGAGGACAATCTTGCCCGGCTACCATGACCTCTGAACGCACACGTCGGTCAGGTCAGCGCGGACCAACTCAGTGCTGATGATCTTCGGAGCTTCACGCGCACTCCAAAGCGCACTCGCACATTGAAGGGTGCCGCATCAGCTACTGCAGAGCACTATTCTCGACGACCCTTCACCGTGTTCATTCCCAAAAGGTCTACTCGTGCTACGCGGTCCAGAACTACAAGATGCAAGCATTACTGCCATGCCTTACACATCATGGACGGAAGTGTCTTTCCCCTTGTGTGAGACGTCAACCAGGACACTTCCATTGCAGATGTGCACGTCATCAACGACAGTGAAGAGGTGGCGTGCAGCCTTGTGAGTGAAAAGATGGTCCGCATTGCTTGCTGATTGTGCATGGGTTGTCTTGTCTTGTGTTGTGCTTCTTCCATGTTTGTTCTTTCGCAGACCCTTTGTTTCACAGAGACGCATTCGGTTGTCATGCTCAATTCGACATTTGGAAACGAGAGATGGGCTTTCCCGCGCTACTTTGAGTACGACATCGTGCGTGGCCCTGGAGTGGAATGGATTCGTGTTTACACACCGGGAATGTGGCAGCCTGTGGCAGAATCTACCCTAGGCCCAGCTCCGGACCACGCGTCCACATATCGTGAATGGCGCAGAGTCTACCACTTTGACGTGTGTTGGCCTCGTGACAGCACAGGAGGCACCGCTGCGGATGCCCTCGCACTGCCGGTCTCCTACGTGTCCTTCTACACGTGGCAACATCGAGATTGGCACACGCGGGGATACCAACGCCTTGGCGACCCACGTCCAAGCATTGGATCGCCAGATCTCGTGTACGCTGGATTGTCGTCCTCGTCGGCGTCTTCGGTTCCGGATGGTGCTTGGCGTGAACCTTCTCCCCCGCCGAGCTACGATCCTGATTTTGACTGGGACGAGTGACATTGACGCCTGGGCAGACTGTTGCTTAAAACACTGTGCTTGTTGCTTCTTGCGTCTTGAGTGCTTGGTCTAGGGCCTTGAGTTTGATTGACTTGTTCTGTGTCTCGTCATGTGTTTCTTTCCTGCAGGCATGTGCATCATTGATCGATCATCATGCCGTGGCTAGAATGGTGCCCTGATCCTCAGCGACCTGACGCTCAATGGGTGGACACCACAAGACGAACGTGATGACCCTCCTCCCACGTCATACGTACAGGGAACACCATGCTCTGGATCATCCACTTGATGGCTTACACAATCCGGACATCTCCATCCAGGTCAAAGAACTGGGTCCCCAGCATGGTCTTCGTCAGCAAAACCGCGGAATGATGGATATGTTCACCATGTCCGACGTTGCACATCGGTCATCTCTGCACCTTCCGCCGGTGTTCTATGGCGGCACACTCAACTTGGAGATCCTTCGTCCCCGTCTTCTGAGCGGTATCGTACAGAGCGTGCAATCTCTCGTTCTCCCCGCCGCTGTGGATATTTTGGTAGACGTTATAGGGAGTTGAGCACGTGATCTTCCGGAAGCAAAAGAGAATATACGCCCCTCGTGGAGGGGCGTGTGTGTGCGGATTGGCAGAATACCTGCCACCACAATTGCTTATGATTTCAACCGCAGGGGCGTGCAGCACCTTTGGCATGCTGCGCGCAATGAAGCTACTGCCAAAGGTGGGAAGGGTGTCCAGACGTGGACACCTGTACCTGCGTCGTGATGTTGCTGAAAGTCCTTTTGGCCCCCCCCTGAACCGCCGTTGCTTTTGTGTGTCCCTGTTAAAGTAGCTACAGGGAAGCCAAGTGCATTGCGAGCCGAAACTCATCGTACTCGAGACTTACCAGTTGTACTCGAGACTCATCAGTTGTACTCGAGACTCATCAGTTGTACTCGAAGGATTAGCACCCTCCCTTGGGAGTTGAAGTGTGTGTGTGAGAAAGAGAGGGCGAGACACAGTACCAAATATGGAAGTGCGCCGCCGCATGCTTCTCGCTTGATATCGGTGTGTTTTTCTTTGGAACCCCTTGGTTGGTTTTAAAGGGACGCCAGAAGAAAACCACGCATCTTGGAGGCCGCATTTGAGATTTGGTCGCTGAAGTCTTTCATTCAATCTTGATTGGGAGCTTAGCTGATTTGGACAGAATCATCATATGGAGGGAACCATGGTTCTCCCCAACAACCTCTCAATCGTCGGCAATTGCGCGTATGACAACTGCTGCTGCCGTCGCCGCTGCTGTTCGTGGACAAGTTTAGCACCTGCAGTTGAGAAGATCCCAGCTTTCGCACTACATTTGGGAAGCTTGTAAGCTTCAATTCAACGATGAACATGAGAAGTTCCTGTCCCAATGGCCAACCCGCCTCTCGAATAATTTTTCTGGCCGGAATCGTGACCGCCCCCCCCCCACCTCCAAAAAGTTTCCAAAACTCCCGCCCCGCAGCAGCGCTGACCGCTAGGCGCAGTACCGCAACCACAACGCCGCTGCGGACTCCAAGCAATGGGCTGGTGCAGCCCGGTTGTTGGGATGTGGATGGAGTGTGGTGTCATGGACGCCGAGCATGCAACTCTTTCTTTCCCTCTTTCTACCCTCTCTCTCTCTCTCTCTGTGCTCTCTCTCTGTGCTTTCTCTGCTATCCGGAATCTACTCTCCCTCCCTCTTTCGAAGGAGATTTGTTGCATGCGCCAGACAGCGAAAGAATACCCCCTTCACGGACGCCTGTTCTATGTCTGACGCGTGAGGGGCTTTCTTCCCCTGAGCTGTGGCTGCTCGCTGCCAGCTTGGCTGCTATTTCTCGCAGAGCCGAGAGTTAACCTCGAGGGCTCAAGTTGAGCTGAGACATCACCTTCGGCGCCGCTTCTTCAAATTGGCAAGATCCTGCTACGAATAGACTTGGGCGCGGTACGTGTTCAAGAGAAAGCTTCTTGTTAGATGGTTGGTGTCATGTTGTTGTGCTTTGAATCCCTCCCAAAAGGACAACATCTGCAATGGCCAAACAACCTGCTTACTTGGGTCGTTGCCTTGGATGATCTTGGATCCTGTACTTGGATCGATGACTTGTTTCCTTTTGGTCCCCTTTGGTGCTTGACTGCTTGACTCTATTCACAGAGGTTGGCTCCTTCAAAAGCGCTGACACGTCAAGCCGCTCCTGCCTTAGGTCGAGCCATTGGAGCAGGCCCAGCGGCTCTTGAAGGAGGACCGACGCCGTATCTTGTAGGAAGAACACCGATGGGAACGGATCTCATTTTAAAGATCTCAGTGGACGCACTTCAGTGACCTCGGCGTTCTGGCTTGAATCTCATCCACTATGCGTGGTGAAAGACCTGGTTGCTTGGGGTTGTCAACTTGGTTTCATGAACTTGCTCAGAAGGAATGGGGAATCCCAGTGAAGAGAAAAGGCGGAACAGATCGTTCGATGGGCCGAGCAAGGCCTTGTCCTTCGACCCGGACCATCAAGAGGCTCAGGCGCGGCCCTGGTTGAATGGGTTGGGGTCGAATGGGGTTGTTTTGAAGGAAAACTCGAGGAGAAACACCTTTGGAGACGAACCCACATGGAAGGCGAGGGAACGCTCCTTTCCACACCAAGGACTTGAAGCCAGGAATGGTTGAATCACTTACACAGGGAATCTTGCCTTGAACCTGAGGCCTGAAGCGTCTGACTGGAATAGCTGTTACTGTATCTAGGAGTTGGTGTCACGGATTCGTAAAATGTGCTCCTAAGACCTTCTCCAACCACCCCACTGCCTCCTTCACATGCGCTTTGTGCCTAGGCCTTTAGAAAGCGGCTCCGGTCACTCTGCGGCAAGCACGGGGAGCTGAAGGATCGGGATGTGATTTTCTTGAGGATGCTTGCCGTTTGTGCCTTGGTCAAGATCAACATCTCACAAAGAAAGCTCATTGGTGGCCTTCAATAAAGAGTCCATGCAAGAATTTCACCATGACTGACTTGATTGTTTGCGTTTGGAATCGCACATTGCTGCAGGAGCTCATGGATAGCCGCGCTTCGTCTGCAATCCACAACTGCATTCAGCGGCAAGGGTATGTTCGGCAGAACGAGCCGGCTGTTGGGCGTTAATTCAAAGACTGGCCTTCCTGCAGCCATTGCAATGTAAACCTTGCGATTTCTGGGTGTTTTTTTTTCAGATGCTGCTGGTTTTGCTTGGGCCTAGGTGATCAAGCCCAGCACCGTTGTGTTTTTGTCAATGCCGCATGGGATATTCCATGTCTCAATCCCATTGCTTCCCACGAAAAGAATGGCAAGTCAGCCAGCTGAGGTGAGTTCGAAAAGGCGCTGGAAGTGGTCGACAGCTGTGCGCTCAGCTTTTGGACTCAAAGAGACGAGACCCGCTTCAGCGGGACGTAATCATGCTACGGGCTCCGAGGTATGCTGGAGCTTTGCCAAGACAACACGGCAGCGAGCTCGGGAGAAACAGAGAGTGTTAGCTTGTGTGGCCAGAGATGGACATGCGGCATGCGTCAAACATACGGATTCCCTCAAATCATCCGCGAAACGTGTATGAATATGAGTCACCTCAAAAAAGGCATTGCCCAACAAGAGATCTGAATTCATTTGCGAGGAAGTGCGTGCGTGCGTGCGTGCGTGCGTGCGTGCGTGCGTGCGTGCGTGCGTGCGTGCGTGCGTGTGTGTGTGTGTGTGGTGGGTGTGTGTGTGTGTGTGTGTGTGTGTTTGTTTGTGTGTGTGTCTGTGTCTGTGTCTGTGTGTGTGTGTGGGTGCGTGCGTGCGTGCGTGCGTGCGTGCGTGCGTGGGTAAGTGGGTGGGTGGGCGGGGTTGACTTGGGTTGGGTCGGGTTGGGTGGGTAGGTGGATGGTTTGTGGTTGTGTTAGGGTAAGTGGTTGCGCTTGCATTGTCTTTTAATACGGCATAGGGATAAGCAAATACGCTTAAAGAGTGGACAGGCCGTGACACTTCTCGGAGCCTCCGTTGGCTGAAGGCCATGATGGCATCTCTCTACACCGAGCGCGCCAAAGCGAACGTGCGCCTCAAGGACTGGCGGAGCGCCCGGCGCTTGGGCGCTTGGGCGCATCGGGCGAGTCACTCGAAGTGATGGGCTGCTGGTTGTTTTTTGGTTTGTCCGTGCAGATGTGTGGTAATTTCACCTTAAAGACTTTTCGCAGTTGGTTTGGCAGGATTTTGCATTTCATGGAATCTTGGCTGGACGGTTCGATTGGGCACCCTCTTCATAGGTTGAGTTCGATGGGCGGGCTCAAACATCCCCGCGAGGCAGTGCTCCCTTTTGCTGCATCTTGCTGAGGTCATCAAGGATGTTGGCCAGGCGACCTACAGGAACCACTCGTCCACTGCTCAGCCAGCGATGTACTGTACAACTGGCCCAGACTTCGCGTGCTGATGTTATTGAGGCTGGTGCAGCCATACCTCTTCCGAGCGCAGGCACTGCAGGCGCTTCAGTTGGAGCCTGGGAGAGGTGAACGACGAAAACCAGAACAATTAGATGAAACCAAGGGGGAGCCCCACCTGGAAGAGGTGCAGATGTCCTCGCCTTTGGATGACCACTTTCCTGCAAGGCTTTGATTAGGACCCAAGGGCGGCGGAACTTAGAAAAACTGGCTCCATTGCGAAAATCGGTCCCCTCAAAACCAGGCGGTTTTCTCTTGGTTGCCCGTGAAATGTCATTCCAAGAGGGGTACTGAAGCTTTGCGCACCCTTCATTTTATCAATGGAGGGCCATTTTTTTTAGGATTTTTTTCGTTTTTTTTTAGGAATTATTTTTGTTTTTCAGGGTCGGTGGCTTTTCGGCTTTTTGGTTTTTGTGGCTTTTACGTGGGTTTTTGTGGCTTTTGTGGCTTTTCATTTCGCATCATCTGCATTCACAGTTCCTCTCTTTTCGCATCCTCTGCATTGCCAGTTCCGCTGCGCAGGTGGCTTTTTGGCTTTTTGGCTTTTGGCTTTTTGGCTTTTTGGCTTTTTGGCTTTTGGCTTTTGGCGGCTTTCTGGCTTTGGCTTTTCGCATCCTGATGCTTTCCCAGTTGGTTTTTGGCCTTGGCTTCCTGCATCATCAGCATCGCAAGTTCCTCTCTGGGCCCCCCGCCACCCCCCTTTTCGATTAAAATGCACGCCTAATTGAATCATCACTTTTTCGATCATCATGCGACAGCTACTTTTTAGATTCTTTGCCCCTATTTTTTCGATCATCATGGGGGGGGGGTGGCTGCCGTTTTACAGGGATTAGTTTGCCCGTATTTGAATCCTCACTTGTACCATGAGGCCTTGCCGCAGAGGAACTGATGACCCCCCTGCTGCTTTTTTTATAAATATTTTCTTGGCCCTAATTGAATCATCACTTTTTCAATCATCATGGGGGGGGCTGCCGCCCCCCCCAACCCCCCCGCGATTTTTTGGACTTTTTGCCCCTAATTGAATCATCACTTTTTTCGATCATCATGCGACCGCTACTTTTTAGATTCTTTGCCCCTAATTTTTCGATCATCATGGGGGCCCCCCCCCCACCCGCCACGTCCATTTCCTTAAGTCAGCTTTTTCGATTACAGGGATTAGTTTGCCCGTATTTGAATCCTCACTTGTACCATGAGGCCTTGCCGCAGAGGAACTGATGACCCCCCCGCTGCTTTTTTAATATTTTTTGGCTACGTTTTAGGTGTTTTACTTTTTGTACCATGAGGCCTTGCCGCAGAGGAACTGCCCTATATTGAATCATCACTTTTCAATCATCATGGGGGGGGCTGCCGCCACGTTTTAGGTGTTTTACAGGGATTAGTTTGCCCGTATTTGAATCCTCACTTTTACCATGAGATGCGGGAAGCCAATTTGCTGGTGATGCTGGGGATGTTGGCTGGACATGCGGGGGATGTTGAAAACGATGCTGATGATGTTGACGGACTAGCGTAAAATACGTACATTTCGCGAGAAAATGCTGTAAATTACAGCATTTTAGTAGCCAGGACGGAAAACAAAAAAATCCCAAAATAAAACAAAAAATCCCAAATTAAATCTCGACCCTTTATCAATGTGTATGCACTTGGTACACTTTTGGGGCTCGACGCCGGATCAGACCTCCAACTTGTGACTGGAAATCAAGGAGCCTGGGCCAGCTATGAGGGTTCTGAAGAGAGCTGCTGAGCCAGGCACTAGAGCGCCACGAGGACGCTGTGAAGGAGCTGGAGGCACTGTCAGAGTGAGCTTTACATCGATTGCAGAGGCCAGCCAATTTGGGAAGGACCTGTTGTACGAAGAAGGCCCCTTGACCTGCGGACATCAAAGAGTAGAAAATGAGTCGGCCTTCAGCCTGCATGTTCCTGCTGGCAGTCTCTGATGTCCTGGCATCCTGTGGAGAGTGTGCCTGGCTCGGCGATGAGAGAGAGGAAGGGAGAGACAGACAGCAAATGCCCTGGCATAGCGAAGCTGGAGTCACTTTTTGGACGCTGAGAGCTTGGCTTGGTTGCCTCAATCACCCACTCAGGTTTACCACAAGGTGGAGGAAGCAAAGTTTTTGCTGAGGACATCGATCTCCCGTTGGCAAGTCGCGATGTGCCACGAGCGAAACCAGGAATTGTTATTGCACAGAATGGCTGGCCATCAGCCAAATCAGGGGTTCAGACAACCAGGACACATGGTCTATCTATCGAGTTGTTATCATTATGCCGCATATGAGGTACAATCAGAGCTGCTAGTCGTTTTTAATCTGGGAAGGGCGAAGTTGCCATTCTGCAATGACCGGGGGTCAAGGAGGCTCGCAGCAGCCAAAGCGCACCTTTGCGCTGAGATCGAATGTCCACGCGCCCACTGGCGCGGTCGCAACCGTGGCTCGGTGTCGCGCGGACAAAGGGGCCCCTCTGTCTAGGGCCATGGTGGCAGCAGTGGATCAACAGTTGACATGTCACAACCGAAGGAATCGCATGGGCCAAAAACCTTTCTCAACTGCTGATCCCGTTGCTGATGTGCCGTCACGTCCTTAATGGCAGAACGCCCTTGGCCGTGGCTCTTGCGAGCTGATGTGAAGGTGTTGTCATATGCAACACTCCACAGGCCTGTTTGTGGTCAAGGCTTCGCCGAGATCATAGTCGCTGGCCACCCAACGAAGTTCAGCTCCGGTTCGGGTGAGATGCTCCCGAAGTTGAAGAGCTTGAAGCGCGGCTCTTGCGTTGCTCAACCCAAGCATTGGTGACTCGTTGTAGATCACCGCATCGTAGCCGCCCTTGCTGTCGGTGGCCAGAATGCCTTTGATGCCGCGGGCCATGCGTTCAGTCTTCGTGTGGGGTGAGATCGTGACCGGCTCCATTCATTTCGCACCAGAGCACGTGGATGCAGAAGTTCTGATCCTCGCCATCCAGGATTGCCTGGACTTCAGCATCATTTGAGGATATGGCCTTGCGGCGCAGCTTCCAGCTTCGCCATGCCAGGGGTGCCATGTACGTGACCTTGCCTTCGCTTGCGTGAGGTCCAGTAGCAACTGAGATCAAGCCGCCGGTGGAATCCATCTTGCTGCGATTCGCGTGGGCTTGGTCGCAGAAGGTCACAAACACCATGTCTCGCCATGACTCGACTCCAGGTGGTTTCTTGTAGTGCAGCTGGCAGGCGTGCTTGCGAATCTCGCCGACTAGCTGTTGAAGTTCCAGCGCCGATTGCATGAGGCGCGGCCAGAGTCAAAGGCCTCGCAGACCTCCTTGTCGTCCAGGGCCTTGCGAACAGCCTCAGATTTGATGAAGCTGCTGACTTCCTTGGACTTGGCTCTGCTGAAGAGTTCTCTGTGTTCAGGAGAGAGACGGGAGAGCACAACCTCGCTGTCTCTCATCTTCTTGACCATGAAGGCCGAGGCGTCCCGGAGGAAGTCCTTCTCCTTACGGTGGGAGTCAAGGTCAACGCCAATCTCGATCTTCATCACCTCCTGGGAGTCGATGAGTAGCTGATGGAGATCACCTTCAACTTGATGTAGTTCCTCGAGCCAGCCCAGGTCCTAGCCGTCGGTACGCTGCTTCTTGTTGTCTGGCTCATAGCTGTTGGGATCTTCAGCTGCGGGATCAGCGCTTGGACTTGAGGTGCCAGGTAGATCAGGCGGTAAGGCTTCAGGTTCAATCGAGGTCTCCGGCATGGATGGTCCCATAGAGCTGTCAAGTGACTCGGGGGTGTAGTCCGGGTCGTCCGCCATGAAGGGTACATGAGCAGGGCGTGGAGGAACCAGAAGTGGTGCGGAGCACTGATCTCGAACTCCAGCTGCGTCAGAATGCTGAACAAGTAGCACGCAAAACCCGTGCCCTTCGTGTCCTCTCCAAGCTCAGCAACTCGACTGTGAGACAGCCCATCAGGACCTTCCATCCCATGCAACTTGTGATGGTATGGCGCAAGCAATGGCCATCCCACATTTACGTTGGCAAGCAAGGCGGTGCCCGAAAATCCGGACGCCCACACTGGATTGGTCCTGGCCGAGTGGTGTTTCATGAGATCCTTCCACATCAACAACCAAGTGACGCCCGAAGGCACATCGTCTGGGTGCTACTGCAGAACCAGCTCCTGCGCTGCTCTGTCCACTCCGTGAGACCTACCACGCCCCTGGAAGAAACCCACTAGACGTGCGTAGTCGTCGTCGGGCGACTCAGGAAGTGTGGCAAAGGTTCTCACGTCCTCATCGGTGATGGAGTAGTCCTTGCCGTAGCACCACTGGAAGGATGAGTACCCCTTGACGTACTCGGTTGAGTTGAGCGCTGCGATGGCCAGGTGTAGAGTGATGGTAGGGTCCTGAGAAGGAGAGCCAAGTTGAATAGCTGATGCTGTCATCTTGACGCCCTTGATTGCGGACTCAACTTGGCCATGCGCCCAGCTTTCCTTTTCCGCAGGAGGTGCAAGTTGTACACCGATGTCGGACAGGAAGTCGCTCACGTCCCGAGAGACCAGGGTGATGCCGTTGTCAGGGATGACGAGTGGCCAGATCCATGATCAGCATGAATTTGAGCTTCAGCTTGCTATTGGGTATCACCCACTCGGTCACATCGACGCCAATAGCTTGCCAGGCGCGATACAGTGGATGCGTGGATGCCGGTGGTATACTTCCGGAAGAGGATCCGCCAGGTCGAAGAGCCTCACACGAAGCACACTTGAAGTCGCGGGCCATTTGAATCTTCCATTCGGGTAGCCGAGCATCTCGAAGTAGGTGCACAAGGTTGCGGTTGGTGGGATGCCCAGCGGCCTTGTGGAAGTGGTGTAGCTTGGCAGACCAAGCTCGTTGTTCTGGATCATCTTGAGGTACATCTGATGGCACAGACAGAATTGCTTCACTAGCGGGTGACCGTCTGCATGGAGTTCTCCAGCATGGGAGTTGCCTCCCAAGGTTCGCGAGATGGTGCGAGGGATGCATGCGATGGCCGAGTTGGGTCCATGGAGGTGATACTGTTGTGCTGGTAGTGCTTGAGGTTCCAATGGTCGTCATCCATGTTGATGTCCTTGCTAGACAAGTCTTGACAGGCTGAGAGGTACTTGAGGTACCGTTGTGGAGCAAGTTCAGATAGCCATCCGCGGACGATGGCTTGCACGAGTCGCAGTGGATAGTAGCTGGAGCGGCTCGTCTCTGCTCCTTCTATGCGTGCATGATTGTGGTTGTTGGCGCAGACCCGAGCGCGGAAGGTTTGATGGAAGCGCTCATCGGTGGTACGGATCAACCACCGTTTCTTCAGGAGGTCAGTGCCGGCTTTGTTGGTCATGCCATAGCGACAGCCGTCAACTCGGCAGGGAAGCCAGTCCAGACCACGAGCTCGCAGACCTTCACGAAGGTCAACCACTGGTTGCTGCTCCCACCCAGCGCAGGGATGGGTCCATTCCCAGTAGATGTCGAAGTCCGGGTCTTCGTCGAGGGCCTGCAGGATGAACTGCTTGGCGTTCTTCAGCATTTTGCGTTCTCGACGTCGGGCTGTTTCAAGGACTTCTCGACGTTCCGGGGTGTTGTAGTTCAAGTTGGTGAATTGGCACCATTTTGTGCATGGCAAGGAGAACCAAATGCGCTTGGGTCTGTGTCGTCGCCGTAGGTCTTGAGGGCGTACCCAAGTTTGGGGGTCGTAGATGTCGAAGCCGCGTTGTAGTTTATGCGGCGTGCTGGTAGTCCATGATTTTGCACTTCAGAGGTGAGCCATGAGTTGTCGGCCACCTCCCACAGGAGATCCCGTTCGTCTAGAACCATGGAAGCCGTGGCGTTCGCGAGGTTGGTGGTCATGAGGCTCATGAGTTGTAGAAGTCGCAAACCAACAGAGTTGGGGAGCTTCTTCACGCCATCGGTTCCGCGTTGGGATTGTCCCCGGAATGCTGGGTCTTGCGCATGGTCAGTGTGTTGAAGAGCTCGAGTTTCTCCTCCTCAGTGAGGTGTTGATCCAGGTCCGCCAGAATCGTGGTTGCCCTGTACTCCACTTCGCGAGGTGGTTCGGAGGTCGTGGACATCTTCTCCCAGCTGTGAGAAGACTCCGCCTTCTGCGCAGGGCGCTCCTTGGACTTGGAGTTCATCCCGGAAGTTGCCGTTGAGGATGCTGCTTTCTTCGAATCGGACTTTGCGAGGTGGATCTTGTGGAGCAGCTTCTCCTCGGCGTTGATCTTCTCCTGCATGGCCAGGCAGATTTCCGAGGTCGGGCGCACGTCGCCCATCAGGTCCTGGAGCTCCTTCAGCATCCTCGCCACCATGCCGGGATTGTGAGTTTGGGTGCTGTTGGCTGGGCTGCCCTTGCGAGGGATGTAGGACAGCCTCAGATTGCATATTAGCTGCCCGGCAGATGTCGGGCGAAGCATGGCCACTGGTCCGGGTGACTTCGAGGATCCCGAGGATCCAGAGGGACACTGCGGGTCTCGTCGAATTCCTTGACACCCTTCTTCTTCGGGACCGCCTCCTTGATCCTTGACAGCAGGTCCATGGTCTCCAGGTCGTCCGCGGTCGGAACCGGGGTCGTGTAGGCAATGGGACTCGGAGGTGGCACCAAAGACTGGGATGTCACTGGTACTTTGAGTGGCTAACATCTGAGCAGATGCGCTACGGAGCCGCATCATCAGTGCAACTGTCCGGGTGTCAGGTGGTGCATGTTCAACGGGCAGGCAATCATGCTCTGGGGAATCCTGTTGGACATGAAGTGTGTGGAATTCCAGAACCTGACAATCATTGACACGACGTTGCCCGGCACCACGAACATGGATCCTTGGGTGGCCCTTATCATTGCTGAGACCGTTGGTGAGGAACTGTCTGATGTCCAACACATAGTGACCCTTGTGGTTGTGGCGCAAAGGATATGGCTTGGGGTCACTCTCCAAACTGTTGAGGGTCATGCCGGTGGAGAAATCAATCATCATACCAGCCCCGTGAGGTCCCAGATGATCCATTCCAACCAGGATGGGAACCAGCATAGATCTGTCAAAACCAGGTTGATGTAGCTCTGGTGGATTGGGCCGGGCATAGACCTTGAACTGTTTGGGCGTCCCTGATACATCACTCCGGAGGGTGACCTGATAAAGAGCCTGACCCCACTTCCCATTCCCGTAGCGGAAATACGGGCGAGCGGATTGATCAATCTCCACAACGGTGCAGTGATCCTGTGCCACAATGGACTGTATGAGGCCCTTGACAGCCTCTTCTGGGCCAGCAGATGCTGTGGCCCCACAGTCCACCATGCCTTCAAAATCACCGCTGGTGGATGGCATGGTGACAGGCATACATTCACCACCGTGGAGGTCCATGTCCAGGCCGCAGAACTCGGCCGTGTAGGAGTTGACAAAACTTCGCGAAGGGGTCGCGCCGTAGCCTTTACCAGATCCTGAGTGCTTGGATTTGCCCTTGAGGTACACGGCGTCGTAATCATAGTCCATGGAGTAGGTGTTCTTGCCCTTGGACTTGCCCTAGAAGTCGTCGTAGTAAGGGTCAACCATGAACTGAGAGTTGCCCTTTTTGCCGGAGGATCCCTTGGGATGTGGTGCATGCCGAAGGTCGGGACATTGGCGGATGAAGTGAGCGCCGCCACAGTTGTAGCATTTCCCGGAGTTGCCCTTGCCGAAGCCCCTGTCACGGTGTTTTGCGGCCGTGGCTCGTTTGGCTTCAGCCCAGGTACGACTTGCCTCTTGGGCCATTTGTTCCGCAAGCTGTTCAGCTTGATGTGCTTCCTTGAGCTTTGACTCCTCATCCGGATCGAGATGGGGAGAGGCAGGACTGGTGTCCTTTGACTCGGAGTCGTTGTCCCAGTCCCAGGGGGTCTGGTCTTCGGCAGCCCAGTGTTGATGCCAATCCTGATCCCACTACTGGACACTGGCATAGTGATCGTGCCATGGATCAGGTCGAGGGCCAGGTTCTTGTTCTTGAACATGTAGATGATGCTGCACAGCGTGAGGTTGGCGTTGTCCAAGAAGTTGATCGTCCCACAGCATTTGCAGTGCTCGACTGATGGAGTCGTAGTTCATGCTGTTTTGGGTGGTGCTGAGGATATTTTTTCTTCACTGGACAAGCTGGCAGCCTGTAAAAGACGCCAGCCACGCAGGACGCCCATGATGAAGGAGTCGGCAAGGGACATCTCATCAATGACATCCATCTGAGTGATGTCCAGTTGAGGTTGCGCACGAGGGATGTCCTTGCCTTTGCCTTTGCTGCCAGGTCTAGAAGATCTGCCTGGGGAAGCACCAGGTGCAGCATCAGGGGAGCTGCCATCCTGAGAGGCGTCCGTTGCCCTTGTTCTTGGTGGCGTGGTAGCTTCGTCAGGGACGGATTCATGCTCATCTTGATCTTGATCATCTTCCTGTGCGAAGGGCTCAGGTGAACCACTGGGGATGCCGAAGTCCTTGTCCTCCTGCTTGATGCCCTTGCGTTCCTCGAACATACGAACCAGGGCTTCGGTGAACTCCGCGTAGCCGAGGGTCTCGCGGATGAGAAAGGCACTCATGCTCTCCTGGGGCAGCCTCTTGAAGGCGAAGTACTGGGCGCAGATGGCTGCCGTGTTGGGAAGGCTCTGTCTGACCAGAGGAGAGCCGGCCAGGCGTCTGAGAAGATCTCGCGTACCATCTGGTGAGTCAAACAGTTGTAGAGGCCAGGACATGGCTAGGAGCCGTGCTGGTCCCGTCAACCGACCCACCAGTTTGGTCGCACAGTAGCGCCGCTTGTCCACGGGGACGCTCATCACCCACCAGCGTCTCCATGTCCGTGCAGATCCATCCCATTGAGGGATGTGGCCTTCCTTGTCTGACGTCGTGTTGATGTCAAGGTTGAGCTGGAAGTTGCCGTAGATGGTGTTCTTGTTGCCTGGTAGTTGATGTGTTCCAGGAGGTTGCCGTAGAGGGAGTTCAGGTGTGGGGAGATCTTGATGTTGTAATGCAGGAGGTCCTTGAGGTGTCCAATATGACCAGGATGGTCCTCAACGTCGGTACCCGACGGAGATCACCTTAGTCAAAACCAGGTTGCCACCCTCAAGGTCGGGGCACGAGCCGAAGGCGAAGTGCGGGTGTTCCTCGGACTCCCGGATCGTGTAACCGTGCTCCGCTGCCAATGCAATGACCGGGGTCAAGGAGGCTCGCAGCAGCCAAAGCGCACCTTTGCGCTGAGATCGAATGCCCACGCGCCCACTGGCGCGGTCGCAACCGTGGCTCGGTGTTGAGCGGACAAAGGGGCCCCTCTGTCTAGGGCCATGGTGGCAGCAGTGGATCAACAGTTGACATGTCACAACCGAAGGAATCGCACATTCCTCCAACATTTCATGGCTGCCTATGGCGAAGGAAGCACAAGCGAAAGAACTACTACGAGGTTCTGGGTGTGCCATCAGTGGCATCTCATCTGGAAATCAAGAAGGCGCGACCCAAACCAATCCTTTCAGTGGGGGAAGGAGTCTCTACAAAGTTGCTGTGGGACGGTACAATAAGTTCGCACCGTGGGCGCGGAAGGCCTACCGAGAGCGGGCGGCAGAGTGGCACCCGGACAAGAAGTCGCACCTGGATGAGGTGGGCCGCAGGATTGCATGGATTGGATCAGCTGAGCTTGGTTCAAGCATGGCAGCCTTCAAGGGATTGACTTCAACATGGTTTCACATTTTGCTCCAGCTGTTGAAAGGCACCAGGGAATGCACGTCTCACGTCGGAGGCTGCCAGAAAGAACGCGGAGGAGATGTGGGAGCCTTTGGTGGGCCACGTGGGATGAGCGAGTGCTCGAGCAGAGCAAGATGCCAAAAGCGTCCTTGTGTTCTGGGACGGGAAGAAATTGTTTCGAGGGTTACGCTGACAGTTGTTTCCTGAACATGGTCCGGATTTACTGGCTCAAACCTTCATTTTCGGATACGGTCCTTGGATCCGAAGCATTTCAGGTGACTGTGGGCATCCATTTGGTCTTCGGCCCGTTGCCAGAAAGGAGTTGGTTTAGCGAGAAAGGCCACGCTCCAAGAACAGCTGGCTGTTCAGTCGCCCTTTGGCGCTGGACCCCGTCTCAACATCCTTTCTCTTTGTGCTTAGACCCGCTTGCACCTTCCGATCCCCACGCTCGTGTAATGGGACCCCAGGATTAGGATTCCGGGGTTGACATCAGGCGAGCCGAAGAGTTCCAGTTCCTGACCCGTGCTGCCTCAGGTTCAAGACCATCGGGGAAGCCTATGAGATCCTCACAGACCCTGCGAAGAAGGAGCTCTATGAGAAAGGCCCCGCAGATGCGACACGGAGGGTTTCTGAGGCTATTGAGCTGGGTTATGGGAAACTGATCGCCGTTGAGTCGAAAAGATTCGTGAGGAGTAAGGGTCATTCTGAGTGGACTCTGTCCAACTTTTAGCAGCACCTGTCGCCAAATGACTCCCGCATCAAAAATGTCATGCAGGCTATGACCTGGAGGGCATCAATGAGCAGATCGAGCTGAAAAAGAGGCACCGAACCAGGATCATGACGTCTACAACTGGCAGTATTTCTTTGCGGACCCCTCACAGGTGGATTGATCCAGCGCACAGGGGAGGGTTTAGGGACAAATCAACAAATCCGCAACAAAGAAGATCTACATCATAGGAGGGTTGGGGGTTGGGTGTGCTCAAATTGTTAATTGGTCTCACAATTGATGGTTTCTGGTTGGGTCGCCTTGCAGCTTCACAAAGTTTGCTCGCCTTCTCCAGGCGAACGGGCTGCTGCAACGGCAGGCCATCTCCGGTGAACGATCCAGTTGAGCTGCGTGGCTTGGGAATCGGGCCTGGACTTGGGCTCAAAGCCACTTGTTTTGCTCATCATGCGACCCATCCGTTTGCCTGCAACGAAGTGTTCCTGCTCAAGAAGCTTCCTGGGGCCTGTCTGCCGCTGGGCAACTGTAGTCTTTATGACAGGTTGGGTAGTCTTTCTCATAAGCGCAACTCTCAGTGGCTCCCTGATGCCACTTTAGTTGGATCTCAACTGTGCATGTACTTGTTGCTTGCCTATGTGACAGCTTGCCAGGGGTGGCTGCTGCTGACGGGGCTACTGTCGGCTTCTCGAGTAGCTAGGTTCATCACAAATTTCTCTGCCCGGCCACGTGGCCTGGGTCCAGTGACCGTACCCCCCAGCGCCGCCCAAAAGTGGCGTGCACCGCATTTTTGTGCGATGCCGAGTCGCTGCCAGAGGCCACTTCTCTTGTGGGCCCCTCTGCATTGGAAAAGTCAAGGCCAGGTTACACAGGCTCAGCACCACCAGCAGAAGGTGCTGTTGCGTTTTGTTTTTGCATTTTTTTCCTCGGAAAGTGCTGGCCCATTTGTTGCAGTGGCATGTTGTTCTGGCGTAATCGCCAGGAGATGGCCATCCCAAGAAACTGAGCAATGCTCCTCGAAATTCAACTCTTTGTGCAAAAGGAGTGCTTGCCAGCTCCATACTCCTGCGCAAGTGTCACGTGGCATTTGTCTTCTAAGCACACGCATATCTGCAGAAAGGAGAAGGAGCAAATCTGCCCCTCTGAAAGTTGCAGTGCCTGTGTTTGAATGGAATGTGCATGGCCTTTCTGTGTTTCTGCTTGTCTTCCCTGGCTTTTGACCATGGCACCATGGCACCCCGGAGATCGGGGCATCTATCCGCCGCCCGACAGCGTCTACTTATCAAGGGTGCAGGGGAGCAGCTGCTGGTGAAGGCGCTTTGCCGAAGCGGCTGACGGCTGGTTGCTTTGGCGGTTGGTGCCATTCCGCCTTTTCCTTCGGATCGCTGCGTTTGCGATTTGGTTGGATTGCTGGCTGGCTTGTTGCTTGGTCAGATTGCTTGCCAACTCATTAGTAGCCTTTGCTCCACTGCATGCGTATGATCTTTTGCATGTTCAGCTATGAGATCAAATTTGGTGGCTCCAGTAAACAATGAAGCGTTACGCTGGCAAGCTTTGGGGCAAACTTGACGCGGGCAACATCAGACTTGTATGGTTTTGGGCACGGACCAACGGCGAAAAGAACGAAGCAAACCAACTTGATGCCAGTTTCACGCTCGACCTTTTTGCAGTCATGTGATGCTGGAAGACTCGTGCGACAGACGATGGACGGAAGTGCAAACAAGATTAAACGATCATACAGGAAACGGGTATTTGTGTGCGTGGCCTGCCCAAAATATAGCCTGGCACTGGCAGATTTTCCGGCAACGGAGTTTGCAATTCAAGCGTGATGCGTAGTATGTATATATTATACACACACGCATTGACATGTATCTTGGTGTAATTGTATGCGAGTTGGATTTGGTCAACTATAAAACTGCATTTTTTTGGTGGGATACACTTCGGGCTTTAAGTACTGGTATCCGTTTGTGAGTGCATAGGAGAAGTCACAGATCCTCAATCATTTCTATTACTCTCCCTTGTATGGCCCTTCATCAGTGGCTCAGCATTCAGCACCCGCCGAGGATGATAAAGATATTTGGCGTGGGCCGAGGAAAGCGCGCTGAGGACTCAGCGGGGCATGGAGCACGCTTGCATCGTCCCAGAGGTTAAAGAGTCAATGAAATCTTGCGAGAAACATGGGAAACTGCAATATAAACAACAAGGGATGCCACAATGGAAGCGATTAATCAAATGGTTTTCTTTCCGCATTGCCCAAATCACTTAGAGAGCTCGTCGCAAGCCTGCTTTGTCAGACTTTGGCCGCGGACGTGCACAAAGTGGATGATTGGCTAGTTGGCAGCCCCTGCTTTTGCAACGAATTCTGAACCTTCTGACGCATCCAAGACCAAAACAGGCGACTGGCATGGACCCAGTCAGGACTCCAAGGATGGCGATGCTGAGGAGGGGGAGTCACATCGCCTTCCTCGCGGGCTGGGATTGCTGTTTGGAACAATGAGGACTTCAGCTTGCAAGGATCCTTTGCTTCGCTTTCTACCCTTGAGCGCCTGCATGATGAGCCAAGAACTCTGCTCAAGGTTCTTACATGATTTTTCCTGCGCGTTGCAGGGGCAACATTCGCACCCGCTTCCCCTGGAAAGTTGACAGGTCTTGAGAACCATTCCAAGGACTCCTTCTTAGTGCTGGAGACCTTTCCTGAGCGTCAGGGAGAGGGAAATGCATTGTTGTCAGACGGAAGTTGCAAGCACGAACCTTGGACACCAAGCTGCTGCTCTGCCATTTTGCCAGGCTCCTGCGGCCAAGAAGAAGCAGCCTGGCGAAATTCGAATGCAGAAGGCGTGTCGAACGCCACTGCTATGGGGTTCTCTCACTGTATGCGGCCTGGGTGGATCCAAAAAGCATTTGGTGGAAGTCATGGGATTTTCCATTGAACCTCCAAAACGTGATCGATTCGTTGCTCGTTCAGGGGCAAGGCCCGCTCAAGGATCTTTGAGTTGGCCGGGAGTGGCAGGAGTTGGATGAGATGGAGCTGCCCCCGCAGTGCCACATCGAGCCTGGTGCACAGCATGATACCAGGGTTTTTGGCAGAGCCATGTACCAAGATGGCAGCGGATGTCTTGAGGAGTAGAGTTGGGCCCACCACACGTTTTAACACGTAAACTGGGGTCCATGGTCCAGTCATTCAAGCCAAGTTCACCTTCTGAGGAGCAAACAAGCATGAGGGACGGTTCCAGTGCACCAGCTTCCTTATTTGAGGTGATGCGGTGCAGCCTTCGGAAAGGTTTCGCTCCCCTAACCTTTGGTGAGCGGCTCCCGGGCTAGCAAGCCAGCATGTGGTCACGCGCCCAGCTTTCCGGACAAGAACAACCTGATGCACTTCCACATCACCATATCCCCTGACGAAGGATTTTGGAAAGGCAGGTCGCAACATCTAGCCGGGCTGAGTTGCGGCCGAACAAGTGGTTGTGAAAGGTGAATGCAATATGGCTCTGTCTCAAAATAGGGAACCTCTAATATGGTTGGTTTCCTTTTTGTTTCCCTTTGAAAACAAAAAACAAGCAAAAGGGGGCTCCCTAAAACAAGACACTCCCATGTGGAAAGAGATATCGCGAGCTGTAGCGAATACGTTCTCACGGCTTCTCCGGCACCTCGTTGGCACGGGCCGCTCTTCTGCAAGTAGGGTTTCAGCCGTGGTATATGGCTGTTTTGTAGCTTCCGGTTGCAGAATACACCCCATACCCTTGTTCACCGAAACTAGCCTTTCGCCAGCAGGGGCCAGCTACACCTTTGTCTTTAACGTTGCCGCTCTATATCCGCACGAGGCGGGGGCGACTTTTCGTGCCGGGTTCAGCTTGCCCCCCGGCCCACAGGACCTCACACAACTTGAGGTGCAACGTGGGCTGTGAGAATTGGTTCACATGGATTTGATGATCTCCATGGGAACATCCCCAGAGTTTAGATGGAGCCAGCACCAGCCCGGTTGTCTGCTGGCGAGGCTCCAAAGGTCAAGTGCCTGGTGCTCAAATCTTGGCCAGAGCTGGGCAATTCAACCCCATTGAGTTCTGAGATCAGACGGCAGTCCTCGGTCCGGGTCAGCAATTGTTTGCGTTGCATCTGAGCGAACGCCAATGATGCTTGTGTGTGATGGAGATGAGTCACACGTTTGTTGAAAGGCTCGAGGCTTCTCCAGGCCTTCCTGTGACTCGGGAAGGGGGGGGCTGGTTGAACCCGAGGCGAGACCAAGATCTACCATCCCAATATTGACATGCAGGGCAATGCCGTGGGCTCGGCTTCGGGGAGCTTCCGGTTTCCACTTTGTGTAGTGGCAATCAAAATGAAAGCTCAACTTCCAGGGGCACAGGAAAGGATGACGGCGGCAATTTCGAGCCCCACCTAGCACGCATGCTATCTTGGCATGACCAACTACGCTGGTGCTTGGTGAAGTCTCAAGCTTCGGAACTGCCGCTTGGGTGATTGTGTGCTCGTGCGCTTGGGCAACGGGTGCTCAGGGGCGGGGAAAATGCCTTGGGCGAGTTTTCCGTTTCAGATGCTTGGAAGGATGTTGGGACGAATGACTAATGACCTCGGGCAACGAATGGCCCGACCAGCGTTCCGAGTTTGCCATATCCGAACTTTTAACAAATCCGGCATCATGCTGCTGGGTAACTACTGGAGAGAAGTTGTTCGCCACCTGAATATAAAGCACAGACAAAAAAGCAACACGCTGCTTGGAAACCACGACCTTAGGGCATTGAGCTTCAACAGACAAGCCAACAGCTGCATCTTTTGTCCTGCTTAGAACCTGTCATTTTCCTTTTTCCTAGTTTTGGGCAACATGGTTGCAGGCAACCAAGTTCGCTTGGATGGCCTTGGAACTCAGATCATCCCGCATTCACCTCTTGGTCTAACCATTGTGCATTCAGCCACCCCAAAGAAGCTCTGTGAAAGATTTGGTGCCCTGCAGAATTAGAGGCCTCTCGAATACTTGGCTTCCACTCAATTTCCATCGGTGAATCTGGGCAGGATCTGATACATGTCAGTTCGAGATCCATTGCAGCCGAGGTTTGCCTGAACATTCTGCGGGAGGACTGGAAACCAGCTACGGCCCAAGACATTCTATGCTGCCTGAAAAAGCATTGGACTCAGAGAAAGTTGCGATGACGCCTTACTCGTACTAGGTGATTCATGGCTTTGATCTACTTGATGTGAGCCATTCTACTTGATGGGAACCCTTCATTCAATACCCCGTTCAATACATATTCAACAGGTTGTTGGCTTGACGTTCCATACCTGTCGTTCACTGCCCCTTGATCTTCAAAAACGAGATTGGTTCAACAAGTCATCGGAGTTTGTAAAGCCGTATAATTGGTCGAAGAAGTCGACAGACAGACCGAGCTTGCAGCCGGGTACTACTATACCACTACTGCTGCTGCTGCTGCTGCTGCTGCTGCTGCTGCTGCTTCTACTACTGCTACTGCTACTTCTGCTTCGACGTGGCACTAGCTTGGCGCATACACATGTCTTTTCCACTGCAGCCATTGCAGCTACCGCTCAATACCTATCGAACAAGCGCTCATGCGGTTTCGATTTCGTCTTTGGGTGACAAAGAAGACCCATTTAAGTGAGTTCCCTGTTTGTGGGGTGTTGGATGAACGTCTAGAGACCTAGGCCGAAACAGCCGATGAATCCAATGTGGGGTGCTCAGGTGCTGTCCATCTCCTCAGTCGTCTACGGGCTCCTGTGAGCCGCGGGAGTGGGCCAGGGGCGCAGTCAGCGCCACAATCAATGGGCATTTGAAGTGCATTTCAATTTAAGGACAGTCCCAACCACCCCAACCACACAGAAT